GTGAGGCAACACTTTTTTTGGCAGTTCTTCTCTTGAACTTTTGTTGAAGTAGTCTAGTTTTGACACATAAATCCATAAAGACAGTTTTAAAATTATTAACCTTTTCCAAGCTGCTCTCCCAAACATTCTTTCGTATGTTTTTGAATTTAAACCACCTTGATTCAACTCGCTCCACGACAGTTGTGATTCAGATCTGCATAATGGGCTTCAGTTCAAAAACAAAACATTGGTTCACTTTTAGAGTCGAGCTGTACAACCTTAAATAACATATATCAGAAACACTTATATCAAGGAAATTTTGTTCTATTTCAGCCATGTCCCACTGAGTTGATGACTCTGAATTGTAGGTATCCATCAAAAGAACATAAATACCTGAGCACTGCTTGCATTATAATACTAACTTCTATGTGCATGGGGAGAGAGATATATAAGACTTCTCCTGGCTAGTGTATATAAGTAACAATTTGGGATCATTCTTGAAGTTATTATTTAAAATATGCTTTTATCTGGCATCATTGTTTAGTCTTGTAAATGGTTAAGTTTATGGAACTGATCAGTATGTGCTCTGCCTTCCATACGAAACATTATTGCCTGTAATCAATTTTAGTTTAATATGACCGTAGCTGCTAGTCGTAAGCAAAGCAACCTTTCTGTTATGAAACAAGGAAGTTTTTGTAATCCAAACTGGTTTATATTCTATTTCAATCTGGACAGAAAACAAAGCCAAATTCAGACTGCAATCAATACCATCTTAAACACAGAAACCTGTCCAAGCTAATTTTTGTTAGTTTGTCTTTATGTATGCTATGTGGCTTTTATTCATGACCTTATTTTAGGTGCTCATGAATGTACATGAATAAAAGAATTGCTACGTTATTAATATTACCAGTCATATCCCTGCTAATTAGAATCCCAGTTAAGTAAGTACTAATATTTGCAAGAGCATTGATTTACATTTACTTTTGCCTAAGTTTAGTCAGAAGTTGTGTTTTGTTTCTTTACAAGCAGTGATAGTTACATCTTCAGGTCTTTTAAAAAGTAAAAAAATGAGAGAAAGGAATTATGGCTAAAACTTCAGCTTTTACACAGGAGCATCCTTACTGCATTCTCAGTGATTCTTTAATCAGCAAGAATCATTCCTGTTTTTTATCTGCATCATATCAAGTTCTGTGGGAGCTTTTCTGTTTGGTTTTTGATTGTTGTATTTTAAGTCCATGTGTTAGAAACCTAACAGAACAGAAACAGAACAAAAATAACACTAGCTCTAAAGAGCCAATGTTGGTTTCTCTGGCTGTTTTAGTCTACTATGGAAATTTTCTGTCTGAAGACTGTGGAAAGTATGTGAACTGACTTCTGAGCATTTGCTGCTTTCATGGGGCATCTGTAGAATTGGCAGGTTCAGCTCTTAGTGCTTTTTATTTTGAAGCTTTGTTAGTAAAGTCATTGCAAGATTTGTAACATGGCAGGTAAAGCCTCCTGTTAGTCGGTATCTTACTAGTCCAGTTTGCACATCGAAAATTCTGCCAACTTTGCTGCTTCTTTTTTCATGTTTAAAAATTACGTTTGCATTATTGGGCTTTTAGGCCCAGATCAGCTAAAGGTCTTCTGAACATACAGATAACGTAGTATCAATTTCTCTTTAATCCCTAAAGTACCTAATCATGTGTTGCTGGGTTTTCTGCAATTTGAAGAGGAATTCTTGAACAAGTTCAAAATCTGTAGCCGTTTGGACAGCTTAAGAGTTGGAAAAATGGATGGGAAATCTTGAGTAACTCTTTTCTATTCTTTTACACTAGCATTTGTCAAATAGGTATACTGTAAGAAGGTAGTCTAAGTCATCTAATTCAAGGTGCAGCAAGTCAGAGAAATATCAATTTAGATATTTTTCAGTTGTCCCGTGCAGGTGAAGCCTCCAGCTTTTACAGGGCTTGCTGCATAAATATGTCTATGATACAGCCTTTTGCCCTTCTACAGCACCGCAGCTGTTTTCTGGGATCTCACCATTCCGCATCTCAGTTACTCCAGCATCCTCCTCTCCTGCACCAAGTAATGCAGTGCCACCCCCACGATCTCTGTTCAGATGTCTGCCACAAAGTTCATTTCCCAGCTTCATGATTTGAACTGTATTTCTCTTCTCTTTCGAGTGCCTTCTCCTCATTAAACACAGACTGCTCCTCTTCAATTTTAAGGCCCTTCTTCATGAGTCATTTCCAACCTTTCTATCCACTATTAAAATGTCACTTCCTTCTTTTGAGTCTGGTGTTGCTAGGCTGTAACCCCCAAAATACCTTTGTGCTGCCTCTATGCTGCTTTTCTCACTTCACAGAAGTCTCCCATGAGCCTCCACAAAGCTAGCATTGTCCTTTCTTCAGTCTCTCCTTAAAAATCTTTTGTCATTGTTCCTACAAAAAACGTTCGATAAACAGCTATGAGGATGCGGGTATCATTGCTTGGATGTTTTGTCGTTTTTTATACCGGGAATCAAGCTCTGTTTGTATTGAAGGGTGTTCACATTGGGCAGACTCCACTTGGTCTGTACTTCCAAAGGTCCTGTTCCATGGCCTGGACTTCTAAGTACAAGTAATAAATAGTATTAAACCAGGATTGTTTTCAACTGGCCTTGAGTTCTGAAGAGGATCAGTAATCAGATTTTTTTACTTTGTATGTTTAAACTTGGCTGTTCCTTGCCTGGCAATCTCTTTTGTCTTGCAGTTGTGTTTCCTGCTTGGCACCATGGAGAAGCTGTAGGTAGTGCAGACTGCAGCTGTGCTTTTCTGTCTGGTGTGATGAATGGGTCCCGTTGTGCCTATCACCAGGGGCTTCCACAGCCTCCTTATTTGCTGCTGGCTACAATTCAAGAGGCTGACCGCTAGCTATATCACTTCTGTGAGCTGTACCTAAAACAATACTCTCTTTTCCTATATCTCAGAATAAAAAGCAAATTTATGGAGGCTTGAAGGGTCAGAATGAGAAGTTAGGCAACTTTTATAGGGGCCCTTGACCTTGTATCTGCTTGTTTTGATGACTGCGGTAGAGCCATGGTCTTACACTCTCCCCTCATGGTGTGCGGTGGAAGGTTAGTTTTTGTTCTGTCGTGACAGTTCATTATTGATTGACTTACTGTCGTGGATTAGGCCGCTCCAGCAACTGAACCCTACACAGTCGCTCACTCACCCTCCCCCAGCCCCAGGGATGAGGGAGAGAATGAAAGGATAAACAAGAAACCCATGGGTTGAGATAAGAACAATTTAATACAGATGATGTAATACACAGTGTAGATGCTCACCACCCCCTCGTATGCGAAGCCCGTCTCGTCCCGAAGCTGCAATCCCGGATGAACGCGAGGCCCTGAAATAGAGAGGGGCAGAGAGAGAGAGAGTACTCCGAGAGTGGGAGTACTGGGAGAGCGAGAAAAAAAGGCAATAGAGCAAAAGCGCAGCAAGCGCAAAAGAGCAGAAGCGGCGAAAGAGCCAAAGCGCAAAAGCCCTTCTGTCCGGCTGACCCTCACTTTATACTGGGCATGACGCTGCATGATATGGAATACTAATTGGCCAGTTTGGCCCTCAATCTTAAGTTCCACCACAAATCACAAGGGGAATCGTGGCCCCCTTGTCCCGGCTGTGCTCCCCCCTTTATCCTGCCGTGCTTCTGCACTCCGGCACACTGAAAAGTCCTTGGAGTTTCACGTCCAACCACAAACATCAACTTGCTATCAGCATTCTTCTCAGAGTGAGCCTCTGAGTAAAACCAAAACACGGAGCTCTTCTAGCTGCTAAAAAGAGCTAACTCTGTCCCAGCTAAAACCAGGACACTTACTGAACAGAGGTATAGTTTAAAATACAAGTGTTAATGTAATTTTTAAACAGTATCTAGAAGCTATATGGCTAGCTGTGTTGTCATACTAGGTTTTACTTTGCAACTCTGTGGTTCACAGCATTGGTGTCTTGTCCACAACTGCATAATTAGGTTTTCTTTCTGAGAGCTGTAGTAGAAAAACTCCATGTTTTGTGGGGATTATTTTAAATTAAAGACCATGGCTACAAACGGATACGTGCAACTTCATTAAAGCTAGCTAAATTGAACAGACTAAATTTTGAAAGCCCAGTAACTGGCAGTAACACTGATAACTAATTCAAATATTTTCCTTTACTCAATGACTTGTGGGACAGTAAAGTTTGCTGTACTTTGATTTTGAACTATAGTCTTTTGCTAGTGTGCCATATTATTGATTAGCAAGGAGGCCTGGCTTCATCATAGAATCATTTAGAATCGTAGAATCATTTAGGTTGGAAAAGACCTTTAAGATCATCAAGTCCAACCATAAATCATGTCAGACTTCAGCCTCTGATTGTCAGAAGGATGTTACTTGGTAGGGAATAAATCTCATCTGTGATCTGAATTGCTTTCTAACAATCCTGGTATCTCCAAGTTGTCAACACAGGTAACTGAGCTCCTTCATTCAGGTGCTTCTAAGTTTGAGAGGTGAATAAGGGCTCTTTTTTCTATATTTCATTCCTGTTTAGTTCTTAAATGAAAATAGATTCCACTACATGACTCCATGGACTAAGGCTCCACTATTATGATGTAATAATGTTAACATAACTATATATTAAGATATAATACGTAATAATATATGTATATAATGTTAACATAATTATGATGTAATAATGTTAATGTAACAATGCTGAGTTTTGGCGACACTGGTGGGGACCCTAAAACTAAAAACTCCCCAATTCCAGACCTTTTTGATTACGAGATATTGAAATCACAACCTGTGTGTTGTGATACTTACTAATGCTACAACAGAATTAAAACATCTCCAAATAGGACTCACATCAAGCTGGCAAAAATATCCAAGTGAAAATTCTTCTCAGCAAGCTGCTATTTAATATATCCTTCACTTCTCTAGGGCCCAGGAAGCTGTATCAGATTGTAGTTTACAGCCAAAACCCACTCCTGGGGTTTTGGAAATTGGTAGCTGATATATACTTTACTTTTCAAATGTTGCCTTGACAGGAGAAAACCACCTTTTATGTAAGACTACAGGTTAAATCTGGGCACTGACCTTGGAAGAGAAATCCTGAGCACAAGTCCTTGTTTGCAAATCATGTCTGGTTTTGCAATTTATTCATTCACTTCCTAATACAAAATATGAAGACTATCCTGGGATCAAAACCCAAAAAGTCATTCTTGCAAGGAAGATCTAAATGGTTCATGTCAGTCAGATGCAGATTTGGATTCCTTCAGATTGGATACAGATAGGCTGGTAGCCTAGAAGAGTGCCCTCACTATTGCGTTTCTCTTATAAAATGCCATTGTAGTGCCTTTCCCCCCAGCAATGGATGTCAATAAGGTTAGTTGTGGATGTGTTTTTTTTTTTTAAAGTCGGTGCTGTTAGCACATTAGTCATTTTCTGAGAGTTATTACTGAGTTGAGTCTTAGGTATACAGATCTAGATTTGTCCTAGATATGTGCAGAAACAGCATTTTAAGTGTCATGGCTGCTTTACTGGAGAAAACATAGGTGCTTACAGCTTTTCAGCCAGCTGAGATGGTATCTGAGGCAAGGCTTTAGATGTCACTCTTCACTTAGAAATACTCAGTTTCCACCTGAGCCCCAGGGAAGGTGCCGGTTTCAGACGTCCCTTTCTGAGAAATTCTTTCCTCGGAGGAACTGGTGGCTGCAGTTCAGCACAGCCATCATCAGGTGCCTAATTTTAATTCATGAGTACTCTCTTTCCATCATGGTGGAAGTATTAGCCTGCTTTAATGTAGCATATATTTAAGTGACTCTTTGACTGAGGGTTTATCCCAGGCAGAATTGCATCCTAATATAGTGGGTGAATTCAGAGCTATCCAAAGCTGTTACACTACCCAGACATCTGGAGTAGGATAGCTGCAGTACTCCTGGGCAGAATACAGTATTCAGGTCTCGCTCTTCCTCATATGCCAAAAAAGATGAGCAGACTATTACCGTGCTTTTCGTAACTAACAAATAGTAATGAGGCCAGTTTGTCCAGTCTAGCAGTCTGTGTCCAGGAGTAGCCAAGTAATTGTGTTGACATCATCCATTTTCTTGACTTGGTAAATACCTACAGCTTCATGTGCTATTCACTGTCAGAAACACTATTGTATGTGCCAAAGAAATGAGAGAGGAAGGAGCCAGGTTTGATTCAGAGGCAGGATACGATTTGAAGGAATCTTGTTTCAGTATCCTAATGGATATTGTTTGAGAAAACACAAATACCATTTACGAGCAGCCAACCATCTCTAGTACGGAGGAGCAGGGAATGACAAATAGCTTTTGTTGACAGCAAAAAGTGAGTATTGGCTAAGAAGTAGTGTTTATGGTAATTGAGCTTTACAAGGAAGTAAAACTTAGTGGGGAAGGCAGGGGGTAGCATTTGCAGTGAAGCAGGTAATAAGGAGAGCTGTGTAGGCATTTCCTGATTAGCATCTGCTGTTTCAACAGCCCAGGAACATGACTCACATGTAAATGCTTGTGCTAGGCTTTAAGAGGCATTCCCTCTAGCATGCCACCCTGCCTTCTGGTTTTATTTTGAGTCTCCTTGAGCCCTTACTGTGATTTGAAATCAGTGGAGGAGAAAAGAGGGTAACACAAACAACAGATGTCTTGAAGTCTTGGAACAGAGAGAGAAGAAGCCCTGTGGCAAAGATGAAGGTGTAGTTAAGGTATTTCCTGTCATGAGCTTTTGGTGCCTGTAGTACAGACTGTATTTGCATTTCTGCATGTGTATATAATAAATACAGCTGCGCACATAGGTGGTAAAGAAGCAATAGTGCAAAAAGATGGCCAGTGCACACATCAGAGAGTATTTTTTGCATCCTGTAGACAAGCGTGACCTATAGACACGAAGTGTACTTGGTCACACAGACAAAGCAACCTATTATAGGGCAGGCTTACAAGTTATTTCCCAGCTGCTGCGGTAACTGCTTTTAGTCTGTTGCTGGATAAAATGCACTAATTCTTTTTTATTTGAGGGTAGAAGTTGCTCCATAATTGAGAAAGCTAATAGCATGCCTGGTATCTGTCAAGACAGCTTTGCTTACAGGTGGTAACTTAAGCTCTGGCAATACAAATGCTTTGCTCCCTGTAACATTAGGAGAACATGGTTGTGCGCTAAGTGACGTTTAGTGCAGATTCAGAAAAGTACTTCATCTGTGCTTTCTGGTATGGGGAACTGTGTCTTCAAGGACTTTGATTTCCAGAAAGGAAATCTGTGACAGAAACAGCTGTGAAATTCTTATAATAGATAGGCAGCTGGGGATGGCATAGAGACCCTGAAAAGACATTACCTGCTGAGTGTTAACTCAGTACTGCATAAGGCTAGGAGGAAAAAGAAATGAGAAGGAAAGAAAAAAAAAACAACTGTGAATTAAGAAGTGAAAATATATGACATTTCCAGATTTTTACTTCTTGGGAAAGCTAATTGAAAAAAATATAAATATTAAAAAGAGGATTCAGGGCTGAGAACTTTCTGCTCTGAATGCTTAGCAAGCCATCTCTCACCGTCCCACATCTAACTCTTCCTTTTATGACAGGACTATCTTCCACAGGTTTCAGCAGATAGGTCCAAAGACTGAAAATCACATTCACATACAATCCTATTTTCTCATGATATTTTAAATGTGATTTTATTTGTTTGCTAACTTGCTGCGTTTTTTTCCAAGGATTTTGGTATACCCTATCTGAATATATGTTCACACCATTTATTTTGTTACTGTTACTTCTGTTATTAAAAACATAAATAAATATTATTATTTAATAATAATTAAAGTTTGTTCCAGAAGTTTGTTCTTAGGTTAATCTTAGTGAGGAGTTCAGGACAATTGCTCTGTTACTGAATGTGACTTCTGGAAGCATTCCAGTTTTCAGCTGAATGCTGAGGATGTCAAGAGGAATTCTTTTTCTTTATACAGAAATTTGTGCATTAAAATAGTGTCTTCCTGTGGTGCTTCAGGCCATGCGTACTTTAGGAAATCATATTTATTTTAATTTGTTAGTAGCAGCATTTTTTAAGCATCAAATATTAGTTCTTGCAAACCATAGAGGGAATTTGTTGCATTTAGTGTGTTAAAATAGAACAACTGTTTTCTCAATTAATGCTATTTATCATAGAATTTCTTAATTATTACAAAGATATTCTGACAGAAAAATAAGCACAATAATAATTATGCCTGTATTTTAAATAGTGGTTTTATGCCTGCGTTGCCTCCTCTGTACTTTGAAAATATACTACCCCTGTTGCATAGATGGGGTAGTATCCATCGGAGGTGAAATAACTTCACCTGGAGGTCTTCTAGAGGAAGACAGATCTCCTGATTTCAAAGCAGAACCTTATTATACCAAGTCATGTATTAAACTTATCAAGAGGTATCTGTAAGTTAACAAAACAGAAGCCGCACTTTAGAGACATCATTTAACATTTACTTTTCCTCCCACAGGAACTTTTTACACCGGAGTGCAAATTCAAGGAGTCTGTTTTTGAAAATTATTATGTAATCTACTCATCCATGCTGTACAGACAACAGGAGTCCGGGAGGGCCTGGTTCTTGGGGCTGAACAAAGAAGGGCAGGTCATGAAAGGAAACAGAGTGAAGAAAACAAAACCAGCAGCTCATTTTCTACCCAAGCCATTGGAAGGTGAGGTTCAGTCCATTGCTGGCAGATGCTCCTATAAATCTCACAAGAAGGAATGGTTTCTAAAATACCTTTGTGAATGTGCGTGCCCTGCGCAGGGGCCATTCCAACTGGCAGTCCTCAGGATTCATGGAGCAGTTTTGTGCTTCGGCATAGTGATGGTAGAAAGGGCATATGTAAAAACACTTTTTCCAGGGATTAAGAGGTCACTTCGCAAGAAAAGAAACCTTTTGTGGAAGTGCTTTGTGCTGATTTTAAAATATTCTCTTGGTAGGGACAAAAGCTGTCGTGAGTCTTGCAGTAAGAAAACAGTCCTTTCATTAAGCACAATGAAAATGGATATAGTAGGATAATTGGGAGTTATAAAGGGAATGGATGAAATGTCAGCATCTAAAAGTAAAAGCTTTCCAATACAAAACATAAAGGTCTCTTTATAAAATAAATCATACTGTATTAGCCAGTTGATGTAATTCACATAACTTGTGTAAATTGGCCTTTAAACCAAGATAGAAGCAAGTAAAAGTCATACAACCTTACACACTAAAATGATGTCACACATTCTCTGAAAAATACATTCATTTATATCTTGGAACTTTTGGGTTATCCTATGTATTCTGCAGGCCTTTATAAACCTACACTTCTTTTTGCTTCTTGTCCTGATGGCACTCCAAATTTCATTGGTATTATTGCTACACATAGCCTCAGTCATTATGAAAATTATCTCATGACTTGACATCTGAAAACACATACCTGAGTAATGCTTTGGTTAGCAGTCCCATTTCTTTTAACATTTTAACTTAAAATTTTTTATTAAAGGATGAGCTTGTTAAATGTTTTAAAGTTTCAGCATAAGGAAAGAATCTGAATAATCCTATGTTTTAACTTCATGTTTGAACTGGGATTGATGCCTTTGTGTTTCCCTTGCCTTGCGAAAGCTTATTGTATTTTCATGAGCTCTCAACGATATTGACGCTTTAAATGTCAATCCCTTTATATTAAATTATAAGAATTGTAGAGAGGGAAAGCCAGTGCATTTTCAAAAGTAACATCAATTCACATGGATTAGGAAAGAAGTTACTTTTTTCATTAATGTTTGGATGGTCAGACTCTATCAAAATAGCTTAGACAAGGCATAGTAATAACTTGCTTTACATTGCCCATGAGAGTCATCAAATATGACAGCTCTGCCAAATAATTCCTTACTTTATAGTTCCATCTCATGTTAGTTGACTTAATATTTTTGTAGGTCACGGTGTTATTTCATCAAGCTCTTTTAATTAATCAACAAAGTGTCCTAAACACAGTTACAGGGCTAGTCTGAAGACATAGATCATAACCAGCCTCATGTACTCTAGAGAAGACGTTTAATTTCAGACTTTCAGAAGCCATAAAAGGATTTAGATTATGTCACTGGAAATGTTCGAACAAGTATTTGATTAGATAATGATGCTATGGGGCCCTTCATATTTATTATGATACTTCACACCATTGAAGATCAAGGTCAGTACTTTGATGCTTCTGCCTCCTACTCTAATTAGCCAAGGGATGAAGGGATTGTGCTGTCTATGGCAGCACACAGCTGGTCCCAAAGTCATAGAGTGATGATTAATTCCTTTGACTGCTTTGACATGTCTTTTAACGTTGCTCTGATATAAATAAATGCTACTGAAGTTAGGTATAAGTGGAAATATTACCTGATTCAATGACATGGAAAATGAAATTGAATTATCCAAGAGCATTAATCATTAAGGCAGCTTAATGCTGGAACTGTGTAATTGAACACATGTATTTTCCTCAAAGGATTTAAAGTGGTTACATAGGGACTGAAGCCCAGAGGCAAACTTTTAGTTCCTCTAAGAATTCAGTTATTACTTTAATTTGGAGTTTTCTGCACTTGTACACTCAGTGGAGATCAGTGGCTACTGCAAACTTTTTTGGAAAGGAGGAAGAAGTCCAAACCTCTTGTGTACTCTCCACAGCACTGTCCTGGACATTTCTTCAGTACACACCCGAAGGGATCATGGCCAAGCACCTCAGATTTAGGAGACAGATGTACAGATAATTTTGTAGAACTGGACCCAAGCCTAGTCTTGCAACTTAGGACCAAAAAAGAACACTTAAGTCTAGACAATTGTATCATACGATCCCATTGGTTAAACGTCATCTGTCTTATCATATTTTACTTCTAAAAACTTGCATAATATTTATTTAAGGGGAACGTATACATATGTGTGTATATATATGTACATTTTGTGTGTCTGCCTCATGCAAAGACAGAACAGTGGGGTTTTATTTCCAAGGCTTCTATAGTTTCCATTAAACAAGCAAGCGTACACTTTTCTACTGTGTTTTTAAGTCAGATATGGAAGAAGTGAGAAATTTGGAGGGTCAAGCAAAGCTATCAGTCACGCAAAACAAGCGTCTGTCGAAGCAAATAGTTGCCCTCATGTGAAAGAGGAATATAGATTATATTACAATATGAGTTACTGTAGAAAATCAATCCTATCCGAGATGAGCTCTTAAATGAGATACATTCTAAAAAACGTCTCTCCTTTTCTCTTTCCTCCCATCAGTTGCCATGTATCGAGAACCATCTTTGCATGATATTGGAGAAACAGTGCCAAAGGCTGGGGTGACTCCGAGTAAAAGCACAAGTGCGTCTGCAATAATGAATGGTGGCAAACCAGTTAACAAGAGTAAGACGACATAGCCAGATCCTCACAGGTGTTGTGACTTACTGCGTCCCGAGTACAGTTGAGCGATTTATCCTTGCCAGACTTCCCCTCTGCAGTGTCTGTGGATCAGCTTGCGGCAAGTCGCAGACTGGCCCCTTGCTGTTGCTGAGCTGAGTTGTTGCAAGCGGATAAATCTCAACACGTAGCTCCACCCACAACAAGAAGACACCTGGATGAACCAGCTAAACTCAGACCATGGAATGCCCTACCAGATATTGGAATGCCTTTTTAATATCTTTTCTGTGACTGTGACACTTCATGTGAATGACATACTTCACAAGTACACTTGATACCTTGCCTGCTGACAATTGCCCATAATCCCTTTTTGAGTCCAGTTTCAGCAAAATCCATGTGTTTAAGTTCTATTTTGTAGCACACAAATAATCAAGTAATTTCTAGTTAGATGCTGTAAACCTGTGCTATTATGGATTTCTCTTCTTCCCTTTTTTATAAGGCTGCTCGCTCCACTGTCTGTGACCTTTGGCAGGGATTGTGTTTCTCTATAACTTAAGTGTTGCCGGTTAGTTTTGAAAGCAATCAGGGAATCAGGAAGCCTTCAAAAATCTACTATTACAAATTATATCTATAAAGAATAGGATCGTTGTCTCTGGCTTACAATATTGATTAAATGTGAATACTCTTTAGTAACAGATACTGTGCTTCTGAGGTTGGCGTTGTAGTGGAGGGAAGAGTGTCAAACACAACCAACGGGAAGTTTTCTGCAACGAGTGTTTGGCATACCCCTATAGTTTCTTTTTGTGTGTGTGTTTTATACATATCACAGGCTTACTGGTAATGGTAACATTTGCCTTGCCCAGCGAGCAAGACCCACTCATTTTTGGGAAAGTGGGTCCAAAGAATTTTGTAGGCCTTGTAGGTCTGAATTAAGGCTCATTTTTCATCTACTAAATCGTCATTGTTTGAAAAACAACCACCGATAAAAAAAAAAAAAATAAAATAAGACTGATCAGAATTGCGCTACCTAAATCCATTTCAAATATAATCCTTTCCTGTTTTTAAGGAACTGAACTTAATGCCATTGTTATTTTTGGCTGAATCCCACACCTACTTAGCAAAGCATGGGCAAGGATGTTGTTGTGTTCTTTTTTGCAGCACCAATGCAAAGGGTAGTTACAAATGATAGTTTAATATTTCTGATGTTTTAAAAAAAAAGTTTTAAAACTGGACATATTACAAAACTTTATTTTTATTTTTAGCTAAGCATGCAAAGTCCGGTCCTATGTATCTCACTAATATCCCAGTACGTACCTCCACCCAGCTTCCTAGGATAACATGCCCACCAAATTGCTAGATTGAAGGTGCCTTGCCTTGATCTCTGTATACTGTACTTTCTCCTATGTGAACCTAGAAGAAATCAAAAACATTATAAAATTGAAGCCTTGGATCATATTGCCAGAAACAACATCAACCCTTCGAGTTTATCACTTGTGAACGATTAAACCAATGGGGGATGGGGGGCAGAGGAGGAAGATTTAGAGAATGCTACAGAGATGCCACTGAAGTGTTGCACCCTTAGTCACAGGCTTTCAGAAAACTAAAAATATGGGTATTCTCTGTATGCTTAAGGAGGTATTTGTTTCTCAGAAAGGGCAACAAGGACCAAACTGTACCTCAGTCTGGAAAACTGTGTTAAAGACAAAAAAAAAAAAAAAGGAAATCATCCATTCCTTATTTAGCATTGTATTTCTGGCAATTTGTTTTATCACATCTTTGTGCTGAAGTCCCTAACAGAGACCGCTAGTCATTTCAAACTCCCCGTCTGCTCAGCTGAACAACTGATTCGGTCTGAATGAACTCTTCATGCTAGTTTTCAAATGTGTTCTGTTTTTATAAGCAACATGTAGTGCGCTCTTCACGGAGGCTACTGTAAAGCTGCTAAATTCTAGATAAACTTCATTCTTCCCATAGGCCAGATTTCCTTGTTTATGTATGTGATACGAGAACAACAAGCTAACATTTGATGTTGGATCTTTCTAGGGAGGGAATGAGTTAAGCATGAAGCCCATTACCCATGTAGAGGAAAAAATACAAACCTACTCTAATACTGTGATAAAAATGCAAAGAAACTTTGACTTAGACTGTGCCCTTGCCTGCTAGCAGAAAATATGTGTGCATGGGGAAAGCAACACTTTATTAAAAACTTCAGTGCATCCTTCTCATCCCTTCCAGTCCAGTGGGATTTGTGCACCATCCCTGAGAAAACAAAACAAAACCAAAGCAACTCATGTGGTGTGCTGGGGGCTTGCCTTGATGTTGTACTGTCTGCTGGGTCCCAGGAGAGGCCCCAGGCTTTCCTACAGCTCTAAGAGGAGCACTTCACAATATTTTGAGTAAGACAATACAGCTGAAGGCTACATTCTCCTTCTCTCTCACCTGAATTTTGTAAGGGTTCATGAGGAGGCAATACATGTGTTCATGCCCCATCCGGCCATCTTTTTACTCTCCCAGTGTAAGAGCTTGGGGAGAGGCAGGGCTGAAGACCTGGCTGAGCTGTGCAAGGAGGTTCTGGTTCATGGGCTCATGCTACATAAGTATTGTTTTCAACATTAAACCTTTGATCCTGAGCAATTATGATCTGCAAACAAGTTGGGGGGGGGCTATAATTAAGGCCAGATTTAATTTTTGTAAGCAGTTAGTACATACTGGAAATACAGCATTTTCTCTTTGTTATTTTCTGGTTCTGTTTCTGTGGGCTAAATCCGTATGTGTGTTTAATCCAATGAATAGATGTCCTAAAGAATATTTTTTCTACAATCTCTTTAAACATAGCAAAGAGGTCTTTGTGCTTTGTTTCCTCCCTTTAATTTTGTCTCTTGTCTCATCTGTTGCATGGGAAGAGGATGGCAAGGATGAACTGCATGTAGTAGGTCGTGTCTATCAACAAACTGTTGATCTGTATTACTAAATTTACATACATATATGCAAAGAGTTTGTCTGCATTGTACAGTTTGTGTTTATTCTTATTTGTTGTATACACAGATTCAACATGATGAATAAAAACATTTCTATGAAGGTATACCGGAAAACAACAAAAAAGTTTATATAAGACGTAGACTGTGCAAAACATCGTTGCACTGGCCACAGGATGGTGAAACTTCATGTAAATAGGCTGGCAAACTCATTTCTCCCCTTTTACCATGCCAAAGAAAATTATAGCTCCTTAATATAATAATACCTCTCTTGCTGTTCTCCAGGATGAGACTTCACCATTTTCTTCCCTCTAAAATTAATTTTGCTGTTAAGTGAACGCTGTTTTCAACTGTCTGTTACTACTAAAGTACTGTAAAGTAAACCTGATGGAATCAATTTGTATTTACAGATTGGGTTTTTTGTACTTACATGTCCAGCTGTCTGTGAATCTGCAGCGTTCCAGATCTTTTGCATGCTTGCTTTGTATTTTGTTCTTCTGGGTTTTATCTAATCTCTGAGAGACGGTTTGCACACCAATCCAACCTCATTTTACCATTTCATATGTCAACGCTGCACATAGTCATTATCTCCTTCCTTTTTGTAAATTGTTTCAGCCATAGTTGTATTTGGCAAAATCAGTCACACAGCACAGTCTTGGAAATCCAGTTTTAAGTTGATATGAACCACTTCAATGAAGCACCATTTTGTTGTACTTCAAAAAATTTATAGATGCACAAGAATCCTTATGAGATTGCTCACATGATAGAGTCTATAGAAAGGTGTCTATAGCTTTTAAGTGCTTTGTAGTTCACATAACACAGCTTTTCCTTAATTTGCTGGGGTTTTTAGCCACTCTCAAATAATTTTTTAATATACTGTCATTTTCATAAACTTATTTGTGTAGAGTCAGGTTGGTTCTTAACAGACCCTCTCCTCCTCCAAATATACAGTAAAGCAATTCACTTTGACTGTGGTACATACCTGAAACAACATTTAAGAACTCTGACTTTTTATATATACATTGGGAAACTTTTTATCTTGGTTTAAAACCACTGTAAGCAAAGAGGTATGAAAGCAGGCAGTTTGGTCCATGCATTAAAAGTGTGTCTTGCTGATCCATCTGTTTATTGGTATAAAGAAGAAATTATTCAACTCCTTTTAAATGGGAATGCAAGTAAAATTAGACTAATTGAGGAGGTTATATTTCTTTTAAATGCCCCTTTAGATAAACTCGTATTCTGTGCAATGCATTTTAAAATGTCTAATAACAGGGTTGGGTTTTTTTGTGATGACTAATTCAAATGCTATGACTTATTTTTAAAGATGTAATTAAATTTTGGTTCTGTTACCTAGTCACAGAAATATTCAACTTAGCTTTCTTCATCCCAGTAACATTTAACTGTATCATTTAGCTACAAAGTGAGATGTCATTCTGTAAAGACGAGAGGCAGTACATCAGAAATCTCAGAGCAGGTACATGATTAAATGTTCATCTATGTGTTTCTAAAAGAGAGTATGGCCAGGGAAAAAAGGATCACAAGCAGGTTAATAATTTATAGAAGCAAATCAATCCACAGCTCTTTCATAGGTGATATTACAAACGTGTTATACACAATAGGCACAATCGTGCAAGTCTACTGTAGAAGCATTCAGCACACTTTTGGATTGTGTTCTTTCTCTCATAAGAAGAAAGCAAGGCTATAGTATCTTTTGTTTGTAAGGTTTATCAATTTAGCCAGCATGATACCTCCATTTACCCAATTTGTTTTTACCACCTAGAACTGCCTTTTGCCACAGGCCTGGAAGCAAGTTTTTACAGTCACTAGGTATGAAGAGTCAAGCGGTATGTTTCACCCCCTTACACCTCTTCCTGCCTTTATAGTTTACATGTCTGGAATTCCCGTCACAGGGAATGAGGTGTAAAATCACAAGTTTATTAATACAGATGTTATTTTCACATATGTGGAATAATAATCTTGTTCCTTCCGATCTCATTTTTTTCTAGCGAGGAAATGAGCCACAAAACAGATCTGCTGGGAGTTACATCACCAGTTACCTCAGCATGAAGTGTGGGGGGAATGTTCAAGCTACATTATAAGAAACAATAAAAATTGGAAAGGAATTCATGTATAGATTGTATTTTTAGTAGTCTTAGTTAATACTTTAAGGTTATAGTGATAGCACCATTTTGTTTGATAATTTACATTTTAATGAACCACTGACAGTAGCTGTCTTAGAATATTGTAGTATTTCTCCATATGTACCTTAAAAACCAACTTGGATAAAACTTTTTGAAATGCCATGGCTATGTAATCCATGCAATAGCCAAAAATGTTGGAGTTGATTCTTTTTAAAAAAAAAATTCTAACTAGAAAGCAGAATCATCTTACACTCTGTAAGTATATCAATTCTAAATGAAAGCAAATTACAAAGTAAAACGCATCAAATATGACATTGCAACCCTCTAAAGAATTGTTCTTTTGTCTATGAATATGAGTACCTGAAACACCACAGCTGATCTACAGTATATATAAATGTGCTCATCATGCCATGAAACAAGTCAAAAGCATCTACTGAACCTGATAAGAGTTTTGACTATCAAGTATTTTCTTATTACAGTACTAAATACAAATGGAAAAAAATCAAGGAAAACTTTCTGTCTTTCATTGTTTACACTCTGATTCAGCAGATGAATGTATATGCAAAAAACATATTATGATTCAGGTCAGCGGTATTCATAAATACAAATAAAACCAACAATCTGTGCTCTCCAGACACCAGGGTTGACAAAATGCATATATGTTAAAATTTAAGACAATGTTCCTGTTAAGCACTACAGAGTTTAAGGGTTATAAGTATAAAATATAAATTATAATTTCAAGATTAATTTTACTTGGAAGATTCCTTATATTGTATGAATAAATTTTAGAACTCTGCCTGTTATTTTGGTTATCTAAAAAGAAAGCAGCTAGCAGCTTTGGGATGTATGTCTCATTATTTATCTGCATAACTTCTGTATAAGTTAAGCATGGACGTTTGCTGATTATACTCCCTGAGAACATGGGTTTCACAAGCTTCATTTTTAGAAAGAAAGAATCCAGGTTAAGGAAAAAAATTGGGTAAGAGAAAGAGCAAGCTACATGGGAAGGGGGGATAATAAAAGTGATTAAATACATTTTTTTTTTTTTTTTGCATTCTATTACATGTTCTGTACCATTGTATTTTCCTGTTTCAAAATTGTCCTTTC